GATTTCTTTCATAAACCAATAGTAATCCTTATCACTTCCCTTTTCCCCTCAAATATAACAAAATAGAGGGAAATTCCTTTGCTACTTTCCCTAAGATAAAAACTTAAGCACACAGTTTTTGAGTGCGAATTTGAGCTCCGCCTTTGCTAGAAAATGTCTTAAATATACTATGTGAAGCTAATAAAATATTTTTTGCCTTCCAACTGCTATCTGCGTGGCCTAACAACACTCACCATGACTGCTACCCTTTCAAGCCTTGCAGGATTTTTTGCAGTTGGTTTGGCACTTTTTTTTTTCACTGGTTCCATTTTAAAAATGCTTTTTTCAAATAAGTAAAAAAAATATATAAATACAAAAGGAAAGAAGAAAACAATCGAATGAAGTTTTGGGAGATGCCGGCGTAGCTCGTGAAACAGACATTATCCTGACTAAAAGAATATGATGCCAAAAAATTAAAAGAAGAGAATTTCGGGCCTTTTGTCCTTAATGGGTCCAAACATTGCCTCTACCGTTGTGCCAGAATTGCCGTTAGTGATTTGATTTTGTCACTGTTTTGTTTCATTTTCGTCTACCGTGTGTTACCATCAACAAATAGCCTCTTGCGGATTTACAGCAGGTGCTTGCTGTGTTGCCCTACTTGCTTGCTGCTTGTCGGGGATTTCCTCGAATGTTCTTCTGTGTTTCCTCGAACGGAAGATGACCAAAAATGTGATCTCAAGTGGTGGCTATGATTCCGCTCGCGTGTGTGCGTGATTTATCAAATATTTGAAGTGATTTATTGTTGATTTAATACAGATGAGATTGGTATTAACTCTCAAAATTTTCTATACCAGTTGAAAGTTTTAGACGTGAATACTTTTGAATCATTCACGCTCATATCTTGAAATTGGAACATATAATTTTATATTTATTGTTCCAATAATTTTATATTTATCTATTGATATTCATATTATGATAATATTTCCATTTATTGATATTATTATTCAACGGTTTATCATATTATTTGTTTAAATTAAATAATGAGATTAAAATTTAGTGTTATCACATTTTTTTTTCACTTTTGATTCAGTATGATTATAGTTTTAATTATTATTTTTATCACTTTTTATATTGCATTATATATCACAGTGTATATTATATTGATTGTAGAAGTAAAATTTAAATTTTTATTTTACTATGGTGTTTAAAAAGCAAAATATGTGCTATTCATATATTAAAATTTTTTTCCCCTTCTAAATGTTATATTTAATTATTAAAATTTATTTTGGTTATTTGAATGCGGAGTGGAAAAAATTACAAATTAAAGATGGTAATCAAAAATAGTGCAAGAAATAATTTTGAAAATCAATACAAAATTTCTCAAAATTAGAATTTAAATGAAGTTAGACCCGGAGAAGGTTCAGCAATCCCATTAACACATCAAGTTTATAAGAGAAAGAGTCAAACCCAACATAAAGTGATATGTATAATAACCCAACATAATGAATAGTATCCGGATACACTCAAAATACATACAAAATAAAGATGAAAACTATAAAAGTGACAAATACCCGAATATGACAAATAAAACTATCTTGTTAAATATTGATACAGGTAGTACTCTAAATATCATCCCAACTAAAGTTTTTGAAAAACTTAAAGTCCAAAAAGAAAGGAAAAACTTTGTTAATGTAAAACAAACAAAAGGTATTTTGCAACTTAACCACACTTGTACTTTAAATTTAAAAATTGGAAATATAGCTAGGTCAGTGGAATTTTATATTTTAAATACTGATCTACCTTATGCCATATTGGGTTTAAAGGGATGTAATGGGTTTAAATTTGTGATTGATTGTGATAAACAAGTTGTAATGCAAAATCAGAGAAAACTGATCACTTTTTCGGATTATAAAAGCAACTTGCCTTTACACATTTAACCTGAAATCCAGATTAATGATTGCAACAAAAATACCAATAAAGAAAATAAAGCTAAGAATAAAAATAAGGAAAGTAGGAATAAAAGAAAAAATGTTAAATCAAATAATAATAAACAAAAGGAAGAATTTGTTGTGGAAAATAAAATTTTGGGCATTAAAAACAAGAATAATAAAATAAAAACGTAAACAAAGTGAGTTTAAAGAAAAATAAAAAAAAAGATGGACTAAATATAAAGATTTAAATAGCAAAACTGAAAAAATCTTTTGAATTTTTAAGTGTTCTTGAGACTGATTGTGATAATGTGGGGCCGCATTGTCAAACTCATGTTGACGGAATTATGCAAATTCAAGATAATGAAAAAAACTTTCAGCTTCAGGAATTTTAAGAAATTTTCAGATTTTTTTGCTAAAAATAAATAGTTTATAGAGACAATAAAAATTTAACCTCAAAGGGTAAAATAACCATCAAGTTTACCAGCGTCAAACTTTTTATTCTCTCATTGAAATAAAAATACTGAAGTCTTAAACTTCAGATTAAAGACCATTGCGTCAAATTTTTTTTAACATTTTATATTGAAAATGTTTTTGATAAAAAGTGCAGGGATGAGATTAGCCAAAAAGCAAAAAAGCTGAATTTCCACGATAGTAAATTTTACGCAAGCGCGACCCTTTAATAATAACAGTTTAAGGTAATAAATAATGTGTTGACATACAATTGTGTACTAATCTATCATTATATAAATGATTACATTGATACTTAACATTTTTTAGTGAAAATAAAAATTTTCACCTGAAAAAATAAATCTGGAAATTATATTTTTCCCCAGTTCACGTAAGAGACAATTATTACTTGAAAAACTAC